GGTGGAGCCCAAGGATCTGTGCTTTTGGGAAGAGCCCTCTGCCAGATGTTTCTCATGAACAGCTGGTCAGTTGTTGGTCACAGTGCCCAGTTTTTGGGTCAGGACATTCTGTCTACTCAGAAGGGTGTCTGGCAGATCACTCCCAGCATGCTGTCCCGTGAACCCTGATGGCTGGGGTCTGAGGAAGGTCCTGGGAGGAATCCTCTTGGCTGTGTTTTGCTGGCCTCTCAACGAATCATACCTGTATCACCCAGAAACTTCAGAGTCATTCCAGACACATTTCTTGTTCTCACTACCCCTCCTAAATCATATAACTGACCCATCCCCAAGTCCTTGGATCTGTCCATTTCTCTCCACCTTCACTGCCCCCCAGTCTGAGTCTAAATTACCATCAGCTCTCCCTGGGCCTGTGGCCTCCTAACCGTCATGCCTCGGCCTCATGCTCCACACAGAGGCCTGATTCATCGTTTCAAGACATAACTCAGATGTTATCTCTTGTCTGCTTCAAATGCTTCGGGTAGTGGCCAGTGTAGTTTAAGATAAAATCTTAAGTCTTTGATGGGGCCTAAAATCCCTGCATGGCTTGGCCTCTGCCCACACCTGCAGCCCTGACCTGCACCTGCACCCTCCTCCCCCAGCCTTGCTACTTCCCCACCAGATCCTGCCTCAGGTCTCTCAGGCAGGCCCTTCCTTCTGCCCGGACCCTCTCCTTCTACCTGCAGCCTTCACTGAGTTAGCTCCTCCACACCATGTCACTCAGGGGCCCCTGTGATATGCTGGCTCTTGTTATTTACTTTTAATAGCATCTCACCCCTTTACTTTTAGGTCGCTTGTTACAATTTGTGGTCGTGTTTATTTGTGTGCATGTGATTTTCAAATGATCTGTGTTTCCCACTAGAACTAAATCCTATGAGGACATGGAACATAGCTGTTTTGCTCACCACTGTATCTCTAGCACAATATCCGGACGCAGTAGGCATCCAATACATATTTATTCAATGAATGAATGAATGAATGAATGAGTCAAGATGTAGAGCTAGATTCTCAGATGGAGGGCAAGGTCCCACTTTTTCCTCTGGCTGCGGTGATGAAAGGCCGGGCATCGGGAGACCCACATTCTACACAGTGCCGGAGGTGTGGAGCAAATCTAGCCCTGAGCTAGAATGTGGATGACCTTCCCTGACATTTTCTGGGTGAGTCTTTTTGCAGGGGTGAGTGGGGAGCAGAAGAAAGACAGGGCTTTGTAACAGAAGTACAATACCCAGCTTTTGACAAGGTGGCTTAGGAGTTTCGGGGCACATTTGCTATGAGAGCAGATTGGAACCAGGGAGCAAGAAGGCCAGACATCTCCTAGCTGCAGTCAGTGGAACGGCTATGTGCCTGTCCTGACAGACTGGGATTCAACCCTTGGCTCTATCATTTACTTGCTGTGTGACCTGGGGCAAGAAGACTAACCTCTCTGAGCTCCTGCGTATCCATCTTTAGAGAGGGAGCAATTATTCTCCCCTGTCAGGGCAGCTGTGAGGATTAATGAGATAATGTCTGCAAAGAGCCTAGAAGAATGTCTGGCACATAGTACCTGCTTCATAAAAATATGATCTCACGAGGCTGTAAACATCCTGCAGGCAGAAGCCATGTAGCACATAGTAGGTGTGTTAGAAGTCTTTATTAATGATTTCATAAATGGTTGAATGTATTTTCCTTCAGAAGGACTTTCCTTTTCCAGGAAGGATTCCCTGTGTATAAAAATTTCTCCCTCACTCAAACCAATTGCTTTCTTTGTGAGCACCTCAAATCCCCGTGTTTCAAAACAGAGCTGAAGGGTTAGTGTGTGTATTCGTGGGGGTGGCCCTGTCCTGAGTCATCTCTGAGACCCTCACCCTCCCCTGTGCAGGAATTCATCAGCCTCGATTTGAATGAGAGGACTAGAGACACAAATCAATGGAGAGAGGGATTCCTATTTGGTCCCAGTACTATGAGAACACAACTGTTTCTTTGAAATTGACCTTCATTTATTTGGAGGGGAAAGCAGTTAGTTCAATAATGGCTTCCTGGTGCCTTTCAGCATTTTAAAAGACGGAAGAAAGATCCGGAGCGAGGCAAGGTTCCAGTGTTTTCTAAACAACGCACTAAACCCAGCTACCAGTTGGCTGCCCACTACTTCCTGCTGTCTGTGCACCTCCCCCTCCCCCACTCCAATCTATCCTGGCAATGCAGTGCACATCCTTAGTAGCCCAGCCACTCCTTGAGACCCTGACCAGGTCTTCCCCAGGTGGGTAGGAGCCAGCCTTCACTCTAATGCCTGGCAGCTGAAGATTCCTTGGACATCTTGCATATGGCCCATTGAGTAGAAATGCTGCTGTATTATATTCCAATTATTTCCTGTCCCTCCATGGCCCAGTTCCAGGGGCTGAATAAAGAGGTCCTTGTTTGGTGGAGTCCATCCCTGCTCCCAAGTGAGAGCTGGTCCCTGGTCCGACTTGGTCTGAGGCCACAGGGGAAGGGTGGGGAGGAGGTAGGGAGGGTGTTACAGGTGGGGAGAGCTCCACAGGAGATGAGGGGCCCAGCCCCACAGGCAGCCCAACCCTGTTCCCAAAAATAAAAGTAAGGGAGGAAGGAAAACAAATGGGGCCTCTGCCCAGGACCCTGCAGAGGGCATGGCTATTTTCCTTCCTTCCCAGGGGGGATCCCAACCCTTCTCTCCCACAGAGAAGACAAACACAGCTATGGAAATCTCATGCCATCCAGGCACCTGGAAGTCTGACGCTAATTGGAAGTTCCTTCTACCTGCACTTCCCTGTTTGCCAATGACTGTCTCCCCCTAGATTTGCTTTCTCTCCTTGTGAGCAAAAAGCATTTCATGGAAAATTTTGAATTTGGAATCTTGTTCAGACTCCAAAAGAGTTACTGTTCTACGTCATGCTCCCATTGTTTGGGTGTTACTTGAACTCAGGGGAAGTAGAAAAACCCACATCTCCATTTTGCTGGGATGGTCTTCCTAAATGATTAAGAACATGCTAATTAAGCACATTATCTGTTTGAAGCTCTTGAGTACCTTTCAAAGTCCATCCCAAAGCCAAGGCCTGGAGTCCACATTTCTTACCTGCCAAGGCTTGGGCAACCAAGGGAGAGGATGCAGTCAGAGTATCTTAGGGACAACACCTGGGGACATCTCCGGGAGATGGTGGCAGGGGTATTCAGACAGGTTTCATGGCAAGGAGAGGAGAAACAAGCTCTGAGAGCAGGCCATGGAAGCCAAGGACCTGAGATATTCGGGGGTTATGGTCTCAGACAGTCACGAACAGAAAGGGAGGAAAAGCAGAGATAGGGTGAGTGAGAAGAAGCTAAGGGTGAGTTTGAAGAGCAGGACCCACAGAGAAGACACATCATCCTGCACCACCGCGTGCCTGGGGAAGGGCTAAGCTTTGCAGCATTTAAAACCTTGGTGTCCAGGAGGCTGGAGCCCAAAGGGAGCTGAGAGATCCTCTGGCCGGTGATTCTCAAAGCCTCGTCTGTGGACCACCTCTTCAGAATCACCTGGTGGGCTAGTTAAACATGAGGATTCCTGGAACCCATCCGATTTACTGAATCAGATTATCTGTGGATTATGTCTAAGAAGCTGAATGTTTATCAAGTTCCACAGATGATTCTGATCTTTAATAGAGTTTGAGAGCCCTTGATTTAGTCCAACCCTCTTGTTCCCTGGGAGTGAGATCTGAAGTCCAGAGAGGTAAAGCAACAAGCTTAGGGTAACAGAGTGGACTGATGGCAAAGCTCACATGAGAACTCTATTGCCCTTGATCCCCAGGGCAGTGCTCTTTCCATTTCGGCATGCAGGCAGCCTCTTCACCTATTTGGACCTGTTTCCATTGCCCCCTAAAGTGAAAGCTTGCACCTTTGATCCATTCCCTGCATCTTGCTGGGGCCTTCTCCTTCCTGAGGATGCTCTGGTCATAGCCTCTGCAGGCTGGGTGGCAGAGGCAGAAGGAAGAAAGGAGAAAAACTCAGTTCTAAGCCTTTAACAGGTGTGGGATTGGCCAGTGAGTAGAGAAGGAGAAACACAGTTATAACTGAGGGGCAATTGGGATTTGGTTTGTAGTACGAAGCTAACTTTCATTGAGCTTTTGCTGTGCACCAGACACTGCATTAAGTCCTTTCCATGCATTAGTGCTAACCCCATGAAGCAAATAGTAATTAGCCCTATTTTGCAGATGGAGAAAGTGAGGCTCACAGACCAGTGGTCCATAGCTAATGCATGACCAAATCACTTCCACATACAACCATGATCTTTATATAGCCCAAAGCAGTGTGAACTGTTACCCACTTTAACCCAACAAGCCTGCAAAAGGACCCTAAGACCTTGGGAAAAGAGGAAAGCTTCTCTGCAGTGAGATGTGACCACTCTGGGGGGTGGAGGTACAGCTTCAAATGCTTCCCACGTAACAGACTAAAAATATTTCTAAAAGGCATTAACTTGCAAGCCTGCCTCAGAAATGACAACATGGAGAGTAGGTTAAACACCTTTTTTCCTTCATCTTTTTTAAATGGAAACTCCTGATGTCAATTTGCTTTCTTTCCATTTACCCTTTTCCGGTGAAAGCAGTGTGTCTGCAGAATTTTAGTTATTTGAGGGATTTGCTTATGTTCGGTTCTAACGGAGCCCTGGGTGTGATTGCAGGCATACATGGTCCATGGCATGTGGCAGCCGTTACCTCTTCTGATATCATGGCACATGACTTTGCAATGATCACCTCCCTCCATTCATTTTCTGGAGTGTCCCCCAGGGATGCGAGAGGAAACCACAGCAGATCAGTGCCTCAGAGAAGGGACAAGTGTTTCCCAAGCCATGTGGACAGCATATCACGGTACCCTCCTCTAGGTTTACCTCCTAACCAGACCTTGTCTTCTTAGGAAAAACCAGGAAGCTTTTTGAACAACTTAGTAAGACCGCTAAACAAAAGAAGATGGACATATTTGTATAGGAGAGGAAGAACTCAATTTCATCCCAGCACGATCTGGTGTCTGGCAGCCTAAGGTGAGGGACCACTGTAATTTAAATCTGGGTATTCCATGACTCACCAGAGTTAGGAACATTTTCGGGTAAAAACTGAAAACACGTGACCGTCTGTCTTCCTTCTCTTTCAAATCTCAAGCTTTAGATGACTCAAAGGCTGACTGGGGTGGCGCGGCTGTTAAGATGTTCTTCCTAACTCATAACGAAGGGAGCACATTGAGGTGAGAGCAAGCAGTGAAGGGAGCAGGGGAGGACGCAGCCTCTGCAAAGCCCATGGGGAGCGTGGGTCTCTGCGAGAGCCCTGGAAATGCTGAATGAAAACTGCCTTTCTGCGTACGAGCTGCCCGCCTGCTTCCCAAACGCCGCGTCTGCGGTAACTACAAACTATTTTGTATGCTGCATTAGTGACGCTGCCTTAGCTGGCACATCATTACTACTGAGATAACGCTGGTGTGATGTTCAAGTCCAGTGTCCTTCTTAATTATTAAACTGACGCTGTTGAATGAGTCATTCCACGTACCAGATTTTCTTCCTGTGGTTCTATTTCAAGTGACTAGCACCTTACTTAGTGTGTTCCACTCGCACCTGAGCTGGTTCTTAGCCAGCTTACCCAGTCTGCAAAGCCTTTGCAGAACAAACAGTATTCTCTAATCTCCAAACACACACAGACTGCATAAAAAACGAAACCCACAAAAAACTTTACAGTAAGCTCAGCAGCAGACCCGAGATCTGAAAATACCCAGTTCCCCTCCGCCAGTCCCCAACTTACCAAGTGGTAGAGCGATGAAGAAGGGTAGCCAGCACAAGATGAACATACCGACCACAATGCCCAAGGTCTTGGCTGCTTTCTTTTCCCTGGAGAACTTAAAAAGTTTGACAGCTATGGAACTCCTGGGGTTGTGGCCCTTGGCCTTGGTACTGCTGAGGGTGTCCTCATGAAAGTTCTTGGAGTGGATCCTCAGAGTCAGCTCCTTGGAGTTGGACATCTCTTTCATGACGCCGGCCTCCAGGTTCTTGGTGGTCCTCTTGGCAACGATGTAGACGCGACAGTACATGACCAGAATGACCGCCAGAGGGATGTAGAAGGAGCCCAGGGAAGAGAAGAGGGCATAGAAGGGTTCTTCAGTGACCCCACATTCCTTGTCATCGTTGGGCGCTGGCTCCTTCCACCCAAGGAGGGGCCCGATGGAGATGACTGTGGACAAGACCCAGACACTGAGGAGCGCCAAGATGGCCTTCCTCCGGGTGACCAGCGTGGGGTACTGCAGGGAATAGCGCACCCCAATGTAGCGATCGATGGAGATGGCACACAGGCTCAGAATGGAGGCCGTGCAGCACAGGACATCCACGGCAGCCCAGATGTCACAGAAGATCCGTCCCAGCACCCAGTAGCCGAGCACCTCCAGGGCGGCGGAGAAGGGCAGCACGGTGAAGCTCAGCAGCAGGTCGGCAATGGCCAGGTTGACGATGAAGTAGTTGGTGGGCGTCCGCAGGTGACGGTTGCAGGCCACCGACAAGATGACGACGATGTTGCCCACGATGGCAAAGAGGATGAAGGCGCCCAGCACCAGGCCCACGGAGATGGCCCTGCTGATGTCCAGCTGGGGCAGTGTGGAGTTGCTCGAGGTCTGGTTGGGGCCAGTGAAGTTGGCATTTTTCAACTCGCCCCAGTGGGCAGGTGCTGATGTGTTGTGGCCGGTGTCCAGATCGGGATTCATTTTAGAGTCGGCCCTCCATAGCCTGGGGTGAGCGGGCTGGAAGGGCTGCGGCCAAGCTCCTCAGCTGCCCTGCAACTTTGCTTCGCCCGCCGTCTTCTTCCCAGAGGCGCCCTCCCGGCGAGGAGTCATCTCCCCTGCCCGGGGCAGCCCAGCCCGGCGGCGCGTCTCCTGCCTGCCTGCGCTGAGCCGCCCGCTCGCTGGCTGTCAGAGGGAGGCGGCGGCGAGAGGGGCCGAGGCGGCAGCTCCAAGTT